AACGCTTCGTCTTCTTGGCTGAATTTCCATTGACGGCGCCGGTTGAATTTTCATCTCTGACATTGGACTTCGGAACGTGGTGGTCTTCCCTAGCTCCTCTCTCTGGTTCGTCCTATTTTTATTTGTTTCTTCCGTTACCCATGAATCATGCCTTCCAATCTTTGTGTTGCTCTCTGTACACCTTGGTCTTTTGTTTTCTCTGTGAGTTGTCTCCATGTGAATAGTTTATTATTATTGTTATATAAGGCTTGATCAAATTAATAATTTAATATTAATAATTGCAGGTTTCTTGGATAGAGATTATGGGGATAACGCTTGTGTACCATGTTAGGGGGAAGTTTGTCCGGTCTGGGCAGCATGTAGTGTATGATGGAGAATTAAGACATGATTTTCATTGAAGGGATAGACCCTGATGAGCTGAACTCAATGGATCTGGAGCATTATATTATGAAGACAATTATCGGTGGCTTTCAGCTGTTCTATGAAGGTCACGGGGAAAGGGAAGTGCCTGGATTTAAATTGCTATCAAGTGATGATAGTATAAGAGACATGTTAGATCTATACAAAGATCGTGAAGTGTATGATTTGTATGTGAAGCATGATATGTCTTCTTCCGAAACTTTGGGTGGAGTAGAAGATGAAGGAGCTGTAGTAGTAACTGAAGAAGCTCCTACAAGCTTGGGTGATCCAGTTTCAAGTGGAAAGCAACAAGATTTGATAGAAACAAGTGAAGAAATAGATTTGGCAGATTCTAGTGATGAAGATTTGGGTGAACAAGGTCAGTTTTTAAGTATCGGCTAGGATAATTATTGAGTGTGATTTATATTGTGCCTCTTGTGGCTGTTTACAAGAAATAATCAAGTGTGTTCTAATCTTGAATACAATTAACCTACAAAATGCAGATAAACCACGAGCTTCCGAGGAGATTCTCTTCGATGGTTTTGAATTTGGAAGTGACGCAGACGATGATGAAGTTCAAGAACTGAGGAAGAAGGTTGAGAAGGTCGAAGAAAGATTGAGGAAAGGGATAACACCCATCACATATGCGCATAGTTTGTACTACTCAGATTCTGATCCCGATCCAGGATATGACCATGTAGGAGATGAGGGTGAAACTGAAGGTTTTGATTCTGATGACATTGGTAGCTATGATGACACAGATGTAGATGATGAAATTGCAGATCATGGTGTTCGGAGGAAATCAAGGTTTGTCCGATATAACAAGGACACTGATAAGCCATACTTTGAGTTGGGGATGGTGTTCACAGATATATATGAGGTTAGAGTTGCAGTGAACAAGTATTCCATCAAAGAATGCAAGGACCTGAAGTTGAAAAAGAATGAGAAGAAGCGGTTGAGAGCCGTGTGTAAGTTTGCGGGTTGTGCCTTTGAGTTCTTTGTCAGTTTTGATAGGACAATAAACCGACTACAAGTGAAGACATTACAACAGCACACATGTCCTCAACATTGGAGGAATAGGAGGGTCAGGGCTGAATATATTGCTGAGAAATACAAGAGAATCATAAGATGTAATCCTCTAATGAAGATTAGAGAACTGCGTGCTATAATTAGAGAGGATGTAGGGTCAGATGTGTATGGTTCTCTTGTAGGACGTGCTAAGAATCTAGTGTTGCAGAAAACTGCAGGGTGTTATGCTGATGAATTTGCTCTCTTATGGACGTATGCGGAGGAGATGAGGAAGGCAGATCCTGGAACAACTGTTAAGATCCAGGTAGATCGTGGTAATCCAGATAATAAACCCATTTTTCAACGCATGTACATTGGGTTCGCTTCACTTCGAAGGGGGTTCCTTGAAGGTTGTCGGCGAGTTATTGGTTTGGACGGTTGTTTCTTGAAAGGGTTATGCAAGGGTGAGTTATTGGCTGCAATAGGTCGAGATGCAAACGACCAGATGTATCCTGTAGCTTGGGCTGTTGTTGAGGTGGAGTCAAAAGATTCATGGTCTTGGTTTTTGGAACTATTGGGTTCTGATTTGCTCTTGGAAAATGGACTAGGTTGGACTTTGATTTCAGACCAACAAAAGGTACGATGTCCAAAGAATGATCTTATGCTTTTTGATTGCTCTTTTCGCTCTTTGTCTTTACTATTTGTCCTATATATATATATATATATATATATATATATATATATATATATATATATATATATATATATATATATATATATGGGTAACACTCGTATGCTTCAGACACATACTATGCGACAGGATTCTCTACACCGTAGATCTAATCTAACGGTGTTTATTAATTGGAATTAAATTATTTAATTTTTACAATTTTTAAATGATTAGTTGGTCCTATTACTTTTTTATGCGTACCCTTTAACCCCTAAACAAACTTTTCAACATATTTTCGAATTATAGTACCAAATTTTATTCTAATTATGTCTTCAATCCATTAAGTTATATTTACTTACAATTTTAGTTCGGTGATTTATTCCTTTTGCCACTCATTGTAAACGCTCAAACCCCCTTTCCAATTGTTGTCTGTAGTGGCTGACGAACCCTCTCCTCTCATCCTGGCTATCGATTGAAGCAATTGGGTTTTGCGCTTCCCATCGATGTTTAATCCCTCTATGGATTAAGAGAGTGATATGTTCGAGGCATGATGGATTGAATCTTGTGCTCGAGAGGCGGATGAGGAAGGATCGGAGAAGTGAAGAGTGCTGACTCGAGAGGTGGGCCGAAGTGCGGATCGCCGATAGCGGTGGGTAGGTACGCTGACGTACGCTGCCGTCAATTGACGGTGAACGACTATGACCTTTACGTCCTGTAAACAATGAGTAAGGCTGAAATGGAGAGAGGGGATTGGGTCTCGTCAAGGGAATTCTCTTGGTCGGAGTCCAGAATCGTAACGGAGTGAGAAAGTTTGGACGATGAAGAGAGACGGCCGTCGGATTACGGTGGCGACGGCGGCAACTGGATAATTGGGAATTTGGGGGGCTAGGGAAGACGACGATACATGAAAAAACGGCATCGTTTTGTGCTCGTATCTGAATCGAAAGTGGCCTGGAGAACGGCGTCGTTCTATAGGTGTAGATGAAAACAAAAAAAATTTGTAATGGTATGAGGGTCGAACCAGCGTCCTGGTCATTACCATGGGCAATCTTCACCATTCATGCTGAACAAGGATTTTGATTCAATATACTTCCACTGTTTTATTTATAACTATAAAATGAGCTCTTGTAAAATTAAAACATAAAACTAAACTAAGCAGGCCTTTTGTACCAGGCCCAATAGGTGATGTTGGATCTTCTCGCTTGGGAAATTTCCTTCAGTCGAGCCTCCTCTTTGTTTGTCTTGCTTGCTTCTCTTAGCTGAACTTGCATATAATTTTCAGGTTCTTGATTAGATATGCCGATTGATTGATGATAAATTCAGAGACTCGGTGTTGTTAAGCGTTTGCCGAGCATCGTTGGTAGGTCTTCAAATTCTCTTTTGTACTTTGAATTCGCAAACCTTCCATTAAAGCTTGTATATAATTTGTACACATTATCTTGCTACAGTAGGGATATGTTTGGGTCTTGCTTAACTGAGGCCCCTCTCGTGCATTCTCTGATTTAGATGTTGTTATGATGGAAGAAGACTTCGATATCTTGAAGGTCTATCATTTCCTCTGTCTCTCTCTCTCTCTCTCTCTCTTCAATGCATATGTGATATGTGTAATTACGTCTGTGTTCGGGGCATAAATAGTGATGGCCGAAATTTTTTTTGGTCCAGTGGAGATGGCCTCCCTCATTCGGTGGTGGAGCCAAACGCAATAGAGGAATATGCTTGTAAATAGGCTTGTCATTGGTGGGGATTTAATCTCTACTCCTTGTTAATAGGCTTGCTTTCCTTAGTTGGATCAGTTTAGGTGTCAATAGAGGAATTCTTTTTTTGGACGTAATGGTATTAATAAATTAGGTTTGTTTGGCGGTCTATATAAAGGGACGCCAGCCTAGAGTTTACCTTGTAAAAAATAACTCCTGCCGTTTTCCCTGGTGACTTTAGCAAAAGTAAGGCTTTTCTTCTGTGCTGGCGGGGAGATAAACTAATTGCAATGGAGAAATCTCGGTACAGTGCAACAACTAAAATAGCTCTTTCTTTTGGTCGTTTGTGCTGTTCCTTTCTTACAACCCTTTTCCTTTCATGTATGTTCTTTATTCGCTCCTTAAGCCGCTTTGACTTTTGTTTGTTTATGACTTTTGTTTGTTTCATGTATGTTATTTCTTTTGTTTTGTTGTTTAGCATGTCGAGGCATGATACTAAGAAATATGTTGGATCCATAACGACTACCTTTGGAGCCATGGAGACGACGTTCAATGAGTTGTACGATAAGATTAAATCTTTGACTGCAATGATAATGAAAACTGATACTGAATTTCAAGTGCTAAAGAGGCTGTCGAAACGCATTCTTGATGAAGCATCTGGAAGTTCACCTCCCACTGATGTTCCTGTCACGCCTACCGTAAAAAGAGTTTATTATATTGATTCAAACCCAGACTCAGATCGCGATGGCGATGGTTCACACAAGAGGCAAAAATATGCGGTCACGGAAGATCTAAATGAGTCAGTGAAGGTATATAGAATTTATTTAAACAATTTGCACTTGTGTCATTTTAAAGTGTTTATGATGTACCTATGTATTGTAATTTTTGTTAAATTCAAATCGTAGATGGAATTTCCGGTGACTGCATCTGGAAGTTCAGCTCCCACTGTTGTTCCTTTCACACCTAGCGTAAACGGAATTATTTATATAGATTCCGACTCAGACGCAGATGGCGATGATTCACACAAGAGGCCAAAAAATGCGGCTGTGGAATATATAAATGTATCGGGGAAGGTATATAGAATTTATTTAAAGAAATTACACCTGTGTGATTTTAAAATGTTTATGATGTACCTATGTATTGTAAGTTTTGGTAAATTCAAATCGTAGGTGGAATTTCCGGTGACTGCAATAATGGAGTTAGATAATGATGAGGATCGTTCCATTGCGTGTTTCATCTTTGGTGATGGTCTAAAAGATGATAAATGGCTTGTTGAGAATTTTGGCCATAGTTTAAGTCGTCTAGAACTGAAGGACTTGCTTCCAGAAACGTGGCTTCATGGTTATGTAAGTATTTTGTAGTTCTGTTTTGGTAAGGCATACTTGACCACATATTAGCTATACTAATCTTTGGTTTTGCTTATTTTAGATTTTGACTGCTGTAGCTTGTAAATTAGCTGTTGATGTTAGGGCTTGGGGGAAAAATGGACCTTGGTACCTTCCATCCAATTTTGAGGTAAGCAACAATTATGGAAAACTCTTTACAGTAAGTTTACTTTTTTCTTTCTCCCAAAGTTGAATAGTGAATGTGAACTGCTACCCAGGATTTGGTTGTGAAAATGGGTTGGACTCCAAAAAAAGCCGTGGAAAATTATAAGAACCTATATCTTTGCGGCACCTTTGAATGCACCAAGGTATGGTGTAATAATATTAGCAATTTTTCCAGGGTACTATATTCTCTTAATGTTTTGCCCTTTACTGTATAGTCCATTCATTCTTTCGTCATCATTTACTTGTTTATTTATTTCAGATATATTTGCCAATGAATGATGAGAACCGCCATTGGTTTCTTATTGTGGTTTTCATGGACCAAAAGGTAGTGCATGTAGTGGACTCTTTGCGTACTGATTTGGGTTTGCTGGAAAATCGTAAGAAAAGGGTGCAAGGAATGGTGGGTGATCAAACTATTCCCTTCGTGTAAATTTAGTAAGTCAATTTTCTTTTCTTTTTTTAAATTTTGTACTGTAATAGTTACGTGGTTAAGTTTGTTGTTACAGTTGAAATTCTTTTACAAGATGCTTCAAGAATTTCCAGACAAGCCATCAACCTATGAAGTGCCCAAAGTGCATAAGTTCCAAATCATAATTCCTCCATACGTTTCTAAGCAAATTGATGAGTTAGTATTTCTTTGAGTATTTTGATTATTTCATTTCGATTCACAATCTTATTTTCAATAATAAATGCTATTTTTCCACGTAGCTATGAGTGCGGGTTTTACGTCTGTCAGTGGATGTTGCACGGAGAGGCTGATGATAATTCGTATACGGCGGTATAATACAATCCTTTCCTTCTAAATATGATTCCATCCACGTGAGATTCTACATTATCAAATCGAAATCAACATGTTAAGAGTAATGTTATAAATTTGCTGCAGGTTTGTAGTAATAGAGGTCGACTAGCCTTGGCCATAATTTTAGTAAAAGATCTCTCAAATACAAGGCGCTCTCAAATTATTGATGAAGCAAGGGCCGTTTATGAAAGACATTTCAAGGGGAAAATCAGCTCAAAATGCCAAAAGAGTTTATTTGATTCATTTTAGAAAAGTAGTTTTTGTTTTGTTTTATTGGTAGTCGGTCGGTTTTACTATCAATTTGATCCCAATTGAATTCATTTTAGATTGGTTTTGGTGTTTACCTTTATTTTTTGTTAAATCCGAATGTTGGTTCTCGTTTTTGTCGCTTTGTTCCTGATGCTTGTTCATCTGAGATAAGGCTTAAAGAAGGCGCCTAGGCATGAGCCTTAACTGCCGTGATTTCATTATGGGATTGAAGGGACTGGTATTGTATATAAGAAGACGACTTTGACCTTTCGTCTGTTCAGTGGACTTTTTTGTTTATCTTTATTTCGTCCCAAAACACGCGCCAATTCTTGGCTTTGCCCTTTGGATATCTCATATCTTGCCACCGGAGGACGCCGGAGATGTATGCGTTCATCGGAGCAAATCTAACCATGTTGGATCCAACAAATAGCTTCAATAACAAAATTTTAACCCAATAACAAGTGTTTTTAGTTGCTCAGAGCTGGATCGTATCGAGATAGTGGTAGAGATAGTGGTAGATTGATAATGTATATATAGTATGTTCTCCAACTAGACCCTGTAACTTAAAGTCAGTTACAACTAATTTGTCTTTAAATCATAGCAGGACAACTAAATATCGTCAGAAAGTCAAAGAGGTTCAAGGGTATTGTTTTGGTTCTCAACGAACATGAAAAGGGAACGAGACAAGCAGACAATTCAAACAATTCAAGGGTATTGTTTTGGTTCTCAACGAAAATGAAAAGGGAAACAAAACTAGAGTACTGGCAGGACAACTAATCAACCAAAAAATTCATAAACGCTTGCAGGAACCAATATCCAGAATATACTAGTGCAGGAGAAATGAACCACTATCTCCCTATGAATCTTCTAGTTCTGGATTACGCTCTTTTGGCTTTCTTCCTTGTACCTACGAGTCTGGGCAACAAATCTCGATGCATTCCTATTTGATTCCTCGATGACGACATGTCTTATGTAATTTGTAGGCTGTTGGACCAGATATAAAGCTATTTGCATTCTCCTTATATCTCCGCATGGCTGCAACAGTTTGACAATGACAATGAGGCTTAGTAGCTGTTTGGAAAGGTTGTTTTCCTTCAAGGCCAAGTAGGAGAATTCTTGCTTACCCATATATTATAAGAAGAATCCCAAGATGCACCCATCATCCATGAGCACACCCAAACGCCACTATCAGACCTACATAAAATAAGATGCAGCATATGAGTTGTGGGTATCTAAGTATGTTTCTAATTTATTCACAACGAACAATTCTTACTCGTGACGTTGTTCGGGAATTGAAGGAATTGTCAAAGAAAATTTTTCCAGCACAGGTGGATCAAGTGTTGGTTCCACTTGCCGATAAAGATCCTCAAACAAGGCATCAAGAAATTCGATCTGCATAAGCAGTAATCAATTTATTCGAAATAGATGAAAACACAAATTATTCGGATCAGGAGGTCAAACCATACCATAGTTACTACTGCGTTTCTACGAGATCTTTGGCGCTTTTTAGAAGGATACGAATCCAAAATATGGACTTGTTTGTCATCCAGCATAATGACAGCTAAATACCAGTGAACTGCATCACCGTCCATTGCATCTTTCATGGGCAGACACACCTAAATAACGACGAGAAAGACCAAACTCAGCTGAGCATTGTAAAATACAATTTACAGAAATATCAAAAGCTTGATGGAGCATCTAATTTATTCGCATATCCAATTCAAACAGTAGCTAGAAACAATAATTGAGGAATATTTCAATGCAACAAGAAAGGACTTGTTAAGAAGAAACCTTTCTGCACGTGTGAGCTCTTGCCAAGAACTTTGGACCATAACACTCTAGAGCTTTTTTTGATGTCATGCCATAGTTAATCACCATTTCCTGATCATGGTTCATTTAAAAGCCTAAGATAACACATTTAATAGGAGAAACAGAATATTGCACCTAAAATAAATATATAAAGTAAATGGGACTATACTTGTAGTTCAGCAGGTAGATAACAGACTACTCTTCCATCTCCAACATCCCTCCAAACTTCCGCCAGGCTCAATTGGCAAGCCATGGCTGTAATTACATCATCAGCGACATTAGACTTAGGGCAGAGGGACCACAACACCTGTCGTGTATAGGATTGCATCATGGTTTCGACCAGGATTTCCTTTTCTGGAAGATCCTTAGCAAATATGTAGTGGGCAAGGTTCACTTCCTCTCTAGTGTACTTGAGAACTGTTGGAAGTGTAAACTTTGTTTCACCCTACAATAGAAGAAGAAACATAAGGATAAAAACAATTGATTTTGTTCTAAGCGGGGAAAATTGGAAGGCTAGATTATCATACCTTCTTGGCGAATTGCAAGTAAGAAAATCTGGTACGGCCTTTCCTAACTAAGTCATTCCGATCTGCCTGCAAATCACCATCAATCTGGATCACACCATCTTCAGTTCTACCTTTCTTTCCTCGAGATTCATCCTTCTCCGGCAAAGAATTCATCGTAATAAAAACACAATGCCTTAATTCAGTTCTGCCAACGATGGAGAAAAGGGGAAAAAAAGAATGCAAATTGACGAACCATTAATTTGGAAGAACTTCTGGTTTTGCGTTTTGTCATCATCCTGCCGTCCTTATCGTTCTGCATATTGCTCCTGGTTTCTGCCCCCTGACCGAGCTCCTGTACTGCTGTCCTGAACGAGCTCATGGTGAATGCAGAAAAGGAGTTAGCAATCTTGGAAGCTTGAGAGGGAAGGAGCACGACAAGGAAGGAAGCAAGAGGTCGACGACAAAGGAAATCAGCCGGTGTACAGCGTGAACGGGTTGAAAGCAGGTTTCCGACCTTCTTATTCTTTCTTGCTCGACGGCGAGAGTGACAGGCTTCGTCCACGATGTAGAGAGGAGACGACGCAGGTGGGTTTGGGCTTCCTTCTTCTGCTTCTACCTTTTCCAGCTTGGCTGGCGGCGACTGGCGGAGCAGAGATCGGAAGTCGCAAAAGCAGCAGAGCGATGGTCACCAATTTTTTAGTGATTGGGGTAAAATCGACATTTCACTGGGGTTTAGGGCGTAATATTTAAAAACCTATGGCGATAAATAGAAATTCAGATCTTAAAATAGGGCCAACCGCCAACGGGTGAGTGTTTTTCTCTATAAGGATACTGGAAACTTTATCTTCCTCATTAACCTCCACATGGAAAAGGAAAATAATATTGTATACGGGTAATAATTAACATGGAAACAATCCGCATCCCCTATTTGGGAGTTGAATCTTCCATATATAACACACAAGCATTCTTCAGTAAATTTTTTTTTCCGGTAATTCAAGCATTCTTTATTAGTTGCATTCTTTATCCAACTAATTAGCTGCATTCTTTATCCAACTATTAAAATCCGCCACTTGTCAATCTGCAACAATTAATTAATTGCTTAATTCTTTCCTTAATTTATCTATTCCCAATTACCATCTTTGATACATCTCTCCAACTAATAATATAATAATACTAATTACTAACTAATTAACCCCTCTTTCTCTCTCGTGCTCCTTTTTCTTCTCCATCTCTACGTGCGGCCGGCGAGTAAAACTACGGCCATTAAAATTTTCAAAGTTACAACAACAGCAAAAAGACCTCTGCTTTGTGCCCGATACATCCCCTCCCCACAAAGTCACAAACAACAAAAAGACGGCACACCAATGGAGGAAGAGGGAGATAATATCAACAACAATGAAGACAGCGATGTTGAAATCATACCAGAATCAATGACCTCTGACACCGATGGTCCTACTGTACAGGAGGATGACACAAACGTTATTCAAAATTCTCCTTTTATCGGTCAGGAATTCAATGATTTTGAGGATGCATATGCGTTCTACAACAACTATGCTAAGAGTTGGGGGTTTTCTGTCCGTCGCTCAAGGAAGGTTAAGAACGTCAAGGGAGAGGTAACAAGTGCAGCCTTCGTGTGTTCTTGTCAGGGAGTTCGAGAAAAGCATAAAGGTGCACAAAAGAGGGAGTCGCCTATGGAGATCAGATTTCAGTGCATGGCTATGTTTCGTGTGAGCTTGAACAAGACAAGCAATAAGTGGGTGGCTGATATATTTAACTCACAGCACACTCATGACCCAGTTAGGCAGAATCAGGTACATTACTTGAGGTCGCATCGAGGATTAACAGAAGCAGACAAGGCAGACCTCCGATTTAAAAAGGATGCCGGAATGAAACCTTCTCAGGCCATTAAGCTTGCTGTGCATTGTGCTGGAGGGCATGAAAAACTTGGGTATACAGTTAAAGATGGGTTAAATTTCAGCACCAAAGACCGCGCTGAGA